GGAGGGGAGGAGGAGGGGAATCTCACAAGAGCAATAGCAGTTCAAGGTCTTTACTTGTAGTTACCTACTTAAAGTCAGGGAAAAAACCTGTTTTCCCCAAAGTTCAACTTCCAAAAGCAGGGTTGACTTCTAATCAGAACATGCTATAATTATGAAAAATTTTGATATTGAAATATAATCAAAAAAGGAACATTTCCATGGCAACAAAACACAATGCATTTCTGATAGGCAAGAGTAATTATATACAAGTAATTTATAAATATAAATACTCTTGCTGCCTATCAGAAATTCACCAAATGTCTTCATTGAATAAATAGTTAAAATGATGTGTGATAAATTAAAGTATGCAACAATGCTTAACATTACACACTTTAGCTTCCAAAACAGCTGAAGAACAGAGGTTGATTAAAAGTGTAAAAAAAAGTCATTATTTGTCCAGTGATGCTAATCTGGAAGCCTGTCAAAAAAATAGTAGAAACACAAAATTTAAAATTAACGCAAGACTCCTGATTGTTAAAGGAAGTGATGTATAACACAGGGCAGATTAGAGAATTTCAGGATAAACTGTGTGTAAATTAAATTGAATAAGTGACTGAAGAAAGAAGAATCTGAAGTATGCTATTTTAATACAATTATTACTTTCCTGCTTTCCAGCATCAATCATGTTAAAATGTTATTCCTGACAGTGTAAAAACTACAATATGCCCATATAAACCATGTATAAGAAAAAACGCTACTAAAAACTTAACATTTTTACCCTCTCTCTAGGATGCTGGCCAAAGAAATCTGGATGCACAGCAAAATAGAAAGGTCTGAGAGCATTGATGGCATCAGCCCCTGACAAAGCTCTTGCTTGAAGAATCCACTGCAGCAATATTTTCTCCAGACACAACCTAACAAAGTAATAGAAGTTTTAAGTTATTCATTAAGTAACCCACCATATGACAAAGCTGTGATATACATTACATAAAAGAAATATACCTAGAATGGTGTAAACACTCTCAATATAAAATCTATATCACATTAAAAAGATGCAGCAGAAGCCTGAACACTGGATTTTCATCCCCTGGGATCTACAAAATCCCATTTAAACAGAATGAGGTTATAGTGTTTCAGAGATGCTGGCTGGTAATGGCTCTGATTAGAACCATTTAAAGAGTGGGATAACGGTCTCTCTCTCTCTCTCCTTAAAATATGCTCAAACGTAAAGCTCCCACAAATTCCTGTGATTAAATACTAGTGACTGAATTAAATTGGACATATCTGCCTCTGGTGTTTGAACTGTTGTTTCTGAAAGGCAATGTCCATCAACAGTTTCAAATCTTTAAGCTGAAAACATGGTACTTGTAAAGCACTCTGATATTCATGGATGAAGACTATGATAACAAAAAAAGCATTATTTCTGGTTTAAAAAACAAAAATCATACTTCAGCTAAGACAAACCACCCATGTTTGCTTCCAAGAGCCATATCCCCATGCCTGTTTTTTAAACCTAAGCAAACTTAGCATGCTTTGGAAATTAGAGTATTTCCTAAAGATAAAAATGATGTAAGCAGACAGACCAGAGTAAAAGATTAAAAAAAAAGTTATCTGAAATTGAGGAAAGGAAGGATGAAAGAAAGCAGTGGAAGAAAGGAAATGTTAACTGGGACCTGCTTTTGGTAATAGGTGGATTGTTTAAAGTCAGATATGAGTGGAGAGAGCTTTTGGATGAAGAAATCCTAGCTCGATTAAACACCAGTGTGAAGGAACAAACTTCAATTAGGTAAAGTTAAAGGAGAATTTTCAAGACTAAGAGGGCAAGAAGTAGGTCAATGGAAGGAAGAACGGAGAGAGTTAGAGCTGAACCATCAGAATCATAATTTTTAACTGACGTAAAAAGAAACAGGTTGCAACAGCAGTTAACAATGTTTAGTTTCCCAACCTAAAAAGTCACAAGACCACATCACACTGATCTCTCCAGAAGACTGTCAGGAAGGAGAGTAGAAGTAGGGACAAGTTCTGGCAACATTCGGGAACTGGGAGAAAGCAGATTTGCATAACAGAAAAGAGACAGGAGGAAAAAGCATATTCTGGGTAAAGAATCACTAAATTTTCTAACCGTGGTTCAAAGTTTGCTATCTGAGTTAGTGTATTAAGTATCAAGGTCAGTAGACATAAAAACAAAGTTGTGGAGTAAGTGATAATTTTATAATACGATTTCTTCTTTTGAATTGATTTCATAATGTTCTAATTAATTTAGCACTGCAAATCACTGTCCCTTTGATCAACATTCACAATTGGTTTAAACCTAAGAAGCAGAGTACAGGTTTGTAAAGCAGTACCATATTGTTTTAACTTTATATATAATCTCATTAAACTGCACTTCAAAACACTGGACACAGTTACAGAATAGCCAGAAGCTAACTGAACTGAGACCTGTAAATACATAAAGAATAAGAACAAAGTTGCATACTTCACATAAAAGTGATGATCATATAAAAACTAATTAAGAAGATACCATGATAAAATTCTATTCAGGCAATTTCTTTGGGTGAAGAATTTTACTGAGGAATAGATGACACATTAATTTTTTTTGTCTGCCATTACTATAATGGCAGAAGTCGCCTAACAGATTATTTTTGGCCTGGGTTGTTACATTTTCATGACAATTTTGCAAGGCAAGGAAAAGGAAGATCAATCAACATTTACTGCACATGCAAAATGCCTTTGCAAATGAATACTGCGGTAAATCTCAGTTAATTCAAATTTGTATAAAAGGGGAAAGGGCTAGTAAAGCCAACCATAAATCAAAAACACAATTCCCCACAAACTCTTTTACAAGCTGAGACATCTGCAAGTGTGCATATTATCAAAAATTAAATAAGGGGGAAAAACAGCACAATATAGAGCTAGCTACCCGGTTCAGTATTCAGGAAACATCTTTTTTTTTCTTAATGATTTTGCAAAAAGAAGTGTCAGATTAAAAATATATTGTTCATATAGTCATAATAGTTAGAACCTCCAAACACTGCACCATTTGGCAGATTCAGTCATGTAACTGAACTTCTATCCACCAGTATTAAAATTCTGATTGTATTGTCCAATCTCAGAGCTTAATATGAACTTTTAATTTTATTTTCAACAACTTCTTAAAAGCAAGGGTTAAAAGTTCTTAGGTTGAGATAGTGACCCTTACCTTATCTTCTTGTCTGTATTTCTATTCCTTTAGTTAGAAATGTAACAGCAACTGAGGCTGACATTCACCCATCCTTTACTAAAACAAAAATGAATTAGCAGGGCTTGAAAAAAATCCATTTGCCCATGACAAGCAGAAAGCTTTCCTTGACAAAGGAAGGTGGCCTATGCTACAAACAGAAGTCACCTTTTTGCCACCATAACTTTTTTTATAATGGCACAAAGTCCAAGCAAACACATCTATACTCTTTGTCAGACCACAAATTCCAAAACTGTGGCCATGACAATGGGGTAAACATTTTTTGCTGCTTTTTTTGCAGCGGACCTCCGACAGAAGAGTATGAGCAACCCAGAGCTGCTTACACTCTCCAGCTGCCCTGGGCAGGTGGCTCCTGGCCCTTCAGGGGCCCAACCTGCTGTGCCCTAGAGATTACCCTGTAGGAATTTGCAAAGGTGCACCCCAAGTTGGGGCATGGCAATGTGATAGGAGTGCCTGGGGAATCCCCTGCTGGGGTTCCCCCATTTGCAGTCATCCCACAGGATCAAACCCCTGAAGTCCCAGGAGGAGCAGGGGGCCCATCCTGTGGGACAACAGGCAACATTTGTGGAGCCCAGTGAAGCAAGTGAGCTGTGCCAGGATACAGGATACGATGTCTGTTGTAACCTATGCCATCAACTTCTTTGAGGAATGTACACTTCTCATTTATAACAAATGACTAAACTCCAGGTCCTTCTGGTTTTAAAAACCAACAGTAAAAATGGGAACCAAGTCCAGATCAAAGAAATGTTTTGTATTGACAGATATCTTGATCACCTCTTATGCATGTTCTTGTTTTGTGAAGCAGCAGACCAAAAATACCAATTCTGGTCAGCTTAATTGCTGCTACCCAGGACATCAAAGTAAGGAAAGGGTGAAGGACTGCATTGATTTCATGCTATAACTACAGGAAGGCTCTGGAGTTATCCATGAGGCAAAATACTCAGGCTAATTCCATTAGATTGGAGGAAACAAAGAAGGGAATCAGACTGTAATATGATGGGTCTTTAATTATATGCTTTATTAAGTTCTGTATCAGAACTTTGACATAGGGACACAAAGTACTAAGACTTCAAGAACTGAAAAATAAAAACTCTTTCCTGCTACACACTTCCTTTGCTGAAAGGAAGCAGGTAGAAGCCAAAAGGAGAGAAAAAGTTTTGCTTCCAGTAACCAGAAATCACATTTAATCAGATACCTACCAGCTGGAAACCTATGAGACCTTAAAAGATAACCTACAATGAAATTCCACATCAGCATTATACTCCTTCCTAACTGGTGAGTCCAGCAAGGGGCTTATGCAAACTGCTCTTTACTGCTCCCTGTTCCCATCTATCACACTTATTTCTGGGAAATATGCAAGTTTTTCCAATAAAGCTGACTGCCTACTTTGGAACATGGTAATAACTTCTGTCCACTACCTTAGTGAGTAAACATGAATTATAGGGCCATCTTCAGTTGTTTTGTTTCCTATCTAAGTAATAATCTCATGATTGCAAGATGCAGGCTCGGGATTCTAGCCAAAAATCTATTCTGAACTAGATCAAAAAGAGAACACTCACAGGCCAAAATTAGCTGGCATGACAGAAGGATAAACATACATGAAAGTAAAAGACGGACCTGAGACTGGAACAAAGGAACAAAATAAAGACAGAACTGAAATGAATTTAGGAAAGAACAATTTTAAGAAGGTGTCTTGCTCAAGGAGAAATTGTTTGTTCCAGGAATTGGACTCAGATCAAGGAAGATAAGGAGACAGGGATTCATAACCAAAAACAAGGTCATTACTGCTCAGTGAAGGACAGTCTGAGCATTGTGAAAGATATTATGAAATACAATCTCTATGACAAGATATTATGCAATAGGGTTGAAGGACAGACTAGTTTATTGATTCCTGAAAGAAGGGGTGTACTACTACTGTGAAATTTAACATTTTCTTGTAGGCTGGAAAACTGTTAAAAACGGGTCACTTTATTCTTGCTATATTTGCTCTTTCTGAAGTGCTGGCTTTTAATTCAGTAACATTTAATTATTTTATTTTAGCTTAGGCATGCCACTTTCTTCCGCACAACAAACCCATTTCAAAACTTTGGTTTTGTTTCCCTTGTGTCTGACTTCTCTCTTATCCACTGCACAATTGCAAAGTTTTTTTTTAGAACCCTTAATTGCAATTATAATAGTGTGAAATGTTATATAACCTACTGACTAAGCCAAAGAACTAAATGGAAGTATTAAATACAAAAACAATCATCATCATTATACAAATTCAAGTCACAAACAGGCAATTTTTTAACACTGGATTTATCTGGCAAATGACCTTACCTCCTCACAGTTCTCAAATGGCCAAACATCTCAATGCTTATGCTCAAGTCAACTTCAAGACATCCACTGACTCACTTAAAGAAACATACAAAAGAAAGATATTTAATAAAAAGGGAATACATTGTCAATTCTTCATGGAAGAGATTCCCCAATTGTGGTCTGCAAGGCCTGGTAACTGATTCACTGATTGCACCAGATCCATTATCTCTTTTCAAATACAAGTTTGATAAGGACAGATGGAGTCTCCAAGAAATTGAGGGATGACAACAACCCATTACTCCAAAATGTTTGGAAACCATGATTTTGTGTCCTTATAGAAACTAGCTTTCAATTTAAGATTAACTGACAATAGCAATAAACAAGAAATCCACAACAAAAGATATGGTGTCATATAAAGAAAAAACTGTAAATACAAATAGTTTTTGAAATTAGTAGTTAATAAATTTGATAATGTATCCTCTCTACAAATCCAGTTTATACATAAAAAAATTCCTATTCTTCAAATTTTCCTTCTGATGTTTATAGTGGTCCTTTCAGCAAGACAGAAACTGATGTACAAGGGGAAGAATAAAATTGACTGTACAAAAATACAGTACTAACAAATCCAGATAATAAACAAAAAAGAGATATAGCAAAAATGTTTTTCCACACAAACTTCCAATAGGTATAGTAATACTAGATGTTAGTAGAGTTAAGAGTAGGATCAAAATTTTTAGATGAAGTTTTCAAATTGATTTTGTCCCTTTAAAAACATGCATCACCCACAAAACTAGTATCAGAAAATACTTATACAATGCAACTCCTTGCCACAGAGATATCATTGAAATTAGGAGTTTAAGAGAATCAAAAAAAAAATGATGCTAGCCATTTGTACACAGATAATAAGAATACCCATAGTTATTGCAGTAACTACTAAATAAATCAACCAACTGAAAAAAAGGAAAAAAAAACTAAACAAACAAACAAACCCCAAACCCAAGAGTTCAAAAGAAATATCAACAAGTCATAAATCAGGGAAGAAGCCAACATTTAATTATTGAGCTTAGAAGGAAGTTCTCTCAAAACTACATATTGCAGTAGGTCTTCTACCTTCTTCTAAAACAGGAAATATTAAACATATGGCCTGTAGAGCTCCTCTTACCTGATCTGCCTGACTACTGGTGGGCCAGTAGGAAGCATGGCTGTGGGAAGAAAGAGGAAACAGTGGCCTGTTGCAGAATCCAGGCCCTCAGGCCCTGGTAGACAAGGTGACTGGTAGCAGGAGAGTAAACAAAGGCTGACACAGGCCCGGTTACCCTCCTGTTGTGTCACCTGTTGCTACTGTCACAGTCCTATCTCCCTGGCCATGTGCTTTGAGTCAGAGCTGGAGCTGCAGCTGCATGCTCAGGGTTGCACCAGAGATGCCGCTGAATGCTCATGGTCTTCTTTGTGCCCAGGATGGATCCAGCCCTCATAGAACTTGAAACCTCTACTCCAAAATATCTGGCATTGGCTGCTGTCAGAGAAAGGTCACTGGACTAGATGGATCCCTAGCTCTTCCTCTGTGGCACTCACCAAGCATTCAAATATTGGGCAAAATGCAGTCAGTAAAAATAAACGATTTTCTTAACCTTTACATCACAGACACTTTATAAAGGGCAAGTAAAGCAGACTTAGGAGGATGCAGGGACTACAACAGTCCCAATATCAAATTACTGCTTTTGCAGTTCCTATTTTTTAGCTAACTGAATATCAAGAGGACCCATTCTTTCTTTGTGCCTTAGCAGTTGTCTTTTCTTGAAAAGTTTCATTTAGTCTTACAGTTATGTAATACGCAGTTCGATTTGGTAGTTAAATTACGCTTAGAGGGATTTGTGCTGGCAATGGAAAACCCCCAGTAGTCTTACTAACCAACAATGACACTTTACACAAGTGTTTTAAGATAATACATAATTTATATTTACTTTTTAAATTTTTATTATTATTATTAATTTTTTTACACAGAGTTAATGGATTATTGAAAAAGAACAACATATTTGGAATTACTTCATCTGAACCCTACTTAACAGAAGTATTTTACTGAAGCCAAAAACAATTTTACTTGTGTTCCACTTCAGATACTAAGATCTTGGAGAACAAGACATCATTGTGTACATTATTATTATTAAATAACCAAGTGAATATTTGGCGCCATGTAGTTACTAAGCCTTGGTTTTCAACTTTCAAGACCAAGAGACACACAAATAAAATCAGTAAAGTAAAAATAAACAAACAAACTATTAATGGAAGTTTTTAAACAATTGGGCGTTTTTCAAGCAGAGTAGCAAATCAGGTTACATAAAGCCTACCTAACACTGTGTTTGTGTTCTCAGCATCCCACATTTAACTGAACTTGCCTGGATACAGCTGAACATTCTAGGTTACGCCCATCTCAGTACGAATGACATGAACCACGAATGTGCAAAAAAATGGAAATGTTAAAATATACAAAAAATTCTCTCTTACGCAGGTAGTGCATGAGCAATGTTGTAGCCAGGATGGTCCAGAAATTATGACAGAGGATGGAGCAACTGTCTCAAGTTGCAGCAAAGCAAGTTTAAGTTAAATATTAGGAAGAACTCTCTCACTGGAGGGTAGTGAAGCTGGAGGGTAGTGGAACAGGCTACCCAGAGAGGTGGTGGAATCTCTACCCTTGGAGGTTTTTAAGACCCAGCTAGACACAGCCTTGGCTGGGATGATCTAGTTGGGGATGGTCCTGCTTTAAGCAGGGGGCTGGACTAGATGTGACCTCCTGAGGTCCCTCCCAACCCACGTTTTTTGATTCTGTGATTTCTTAGGGTGCCATCTTTTATTGGACCACCTCTGTAGTTGGGAGAGAGTAAGACAAGCTTTCAGATACAAGATGTTCTTCTTCAGGTCCAAACACGAGTCAAGCATAGAATACTATTGTTTTCAAAACACAGAATAAATGGATTATTGAGAAAGCATACCCATATCTGGACTGACTTAATCTGACCCCTGCTGAACAGGTGTGTTTTACTAAAGCCAAGCACAATTTTCTTTGTATTTCACAAGTGGTGCTGAGCCTGGCTCACCACAATCAGACCTAAGAGGACAAATGTCTTGCATTCTCAAGCTCATCTAAACTCTCTCCCAACTACAAAGATGGCCCAATAAAAGACAGTGCCCTGGGAACGCCTTGCCTCTGCGGTCATTTCTGGACCATCCTGCCTACAATGTTGCTCCAGCGCTATCTGCATTAAAAGGAAATGTTTGCATGTTTTAACACCGCAGGCAACATGGAACGAGTCCTGGTGAGTCAAGGAAGACAGCAACTTAGGCTTTTCCAAAGGCGATTTTGTCCGAGGCCCCCACTACGCGTTACTGCTGTGGTCCTGGCTGCACTTCTTCTTGCACCTTTTTGTTATTTATTCCCCATTCACCAAGCCCCAGGATCTCCTGGTTGACTTCCTGTGAGCCCTGGCCAAGCTGGCTAGCTACAAGACCAGGAAGGAGGCTCTGGCCAGGGGAACACAAGCGAGCTTGGGGCTGTCTGCCTGCTGCTCCTCCGCTCAGGTCTCTGGGCAGTTTTACCTGTTGGTCAGCATCCACAGGCTCCCTCCCCTCCTTCAGGGGGCAGCGGTTGCTGCCAGTCTGCTCTGCTCCGTGTCCTCTTTGAGTCCCTTGCAGGAACCCAGGACCTCACTCCCCTTCTTGTTTCCTTTTTATTTGCCCCAAAAAGTCAGCTGGGGAGTCCCCAAGGGCCTCCCTTATCAAAGGGAGATTTACAGTCCTCCAGGAGGGGCTTAGGGCACATCCAACCGGCCGCCACACGTTGCATACATTGAGCGGCCGAAGCACGCAGTAAAGGGAGACCGGTCCCCACCGTCCCCCGGGAAACGGACCACGTAGCTATAGCGGGGCCGAGCAGGCAGCCAGGTGCGCACTTATGCGGGACACTGCGCCAGAGCTTCCTGCGTCCCGCGCAGCAGCAACGCCCAAGGAGCCCGAGCCTCGGCCCCGGCCCGGGGGCGCAGAAGACGAGGCTCCCCCCGCCCAGCGACACCTTGCCGACTGACTCGCTCACAGCAGCGCTCCCCCCCCGGCTACAGGAAGTAGGGGAAAGGGTGGGGGGGAAAGCGCGCGCAGCTCCGCATGCGCACTGCCCAGCCGCCTCGCCCGCCGCATGCTGTTGGAAGCTGACAGCCAAACACTCCTTCCGTGACGTAACCCCCACCCCCGAGCTGGCATCAGCGTACCCGAAGTGGGAAGGATTAGGGGGCGGGGGAGAAAAGCAGGCGCGGCTCCTCCCACCCGCTACTAGTGGAGCCAGTGGCAGCCGAATGCTCCAGTCTCCGTGACGTCACCGCGCCCCTCTACAGAGCCAGCATCGGAGTACTTCGCGGGGGAGGGGGAAAAGCGCGCGGCTGCGCATGCGCCCTGCCGCTCCTCCCACCAGTTGCGGTTGGAGGTAGCGGCGGCTTAAGGCTCCTCCCTGACGTCACTCCCCCGCAGGGGAGACCCCAGGGGCGGGGCAGAGCGGGGCGGGTCTGAGGCGGCTGCTGCTCGCCGGGGGCGCCAAGCAGTCCATCGGCCTTCTCTGGCCTCCAAACGTGGGTCAACACCACGCGCTGGCGCTTTCCCAGCGCCGCTCCCGCCCCCAGCGCTGCCTTCGAGCCCAAAGCCGGGGCTCGCAGGTGGCAGCCGGCCCCGAGAAGTGAGGCGAAGGTGCAGAAACGGAGCGCTTGCAGACCAGGCGGCTTCGCCAGGCCGTTCTGGATGCCAACACACGCCAAACACAGCTGAAGGCCCCGTGAAGACTGCTGGCTTTTCTACCTCGACTAGGACCTGTATCAGTGGGGCTCAGCGCCCGATCTGGCCCCTGGCATTGTTCAGTCTGCAGGGTGCCTCACCGGGCCAAAAATGTGGTGGCAGAGGAACAGCACCCCTCTCCTGCTGCCACATTTCTAGGCCTGTTCGTGGGATGGCTGTGCATGCATGTGCCAGCAAGGGGGAAGCACCAAGGCCCAGCGTGCAGGGGTGGCACGGAGCCCCAGGGCCCAATCTTGGCACATGCAGCTGGGTGCCTGGTCCCAGTGGATAGGGCAAGCACAGGGCACTGGCCCCCAATCCTGGCCCCCTGGGCTAGATGGGCATGGTGTGGAACCGCAGGATTGGGTCCTACAGTACAGGATCCAAGCCTCACATGTGGACCAGCCTGCTGGCTATATTGCTGCACGTGTACTGCCTTCCATCTTGTAAATCTGAGCGTTGGCATTTTTTACTGTCACTTTACAAAGGTTTAAGACACGAGATACAAGGTTATGGAAAATCTCCCACTGAGTTTAAATCTTGGTCTCTGGATACATAGAATGCCCCATGGTAGCTGGACAAAAAAGGGACATCCTAAAATGAGAAATCATTACCTTTAAAAAGAAAGATAAGAAGCGAAAGCAGCAGTCAAGTTCAAATTATTCACAAACAGATTAGAAATAAGAGTGACAAGGCTGCAGGAACCATCAAGTGAAGGTTTAAATGGCGTTACTGCCCATGGCCCCCATGGGAATTCATGTAACAATCCTGAGAATGCACTGCAGTGTTTTTTGCTCCTTCATAGAAACCATCCTGGCTAAGCCATGTATGTATGAGGGCTCTACAGGAGTGTGTTTGCAAAAAATTAATTTAATTCATCTAACAGAATTTTATATTTGCAGTTTCATGTTTTTCTATTTCCAGAGGTACTTACCAGGTAACACCCCTAATACAGACAAATCATACAAAGCATCTGCTATCTCTTGAGAGAAGAACAGATCACTTGAGGCGGGTTTTTTACCCAAAGTAATTTTTTTTTTCAGAGAGGGATCATTTGGTTTCATAATATCTCCATTTTCTTCTAAGCCTATCTTTCTTGTCTTTTCTAAGCCTATCTTTCCTATCTTTCCATGGTTCCTATGCTGCCCTGCAATGATCAGCAAAAAGGGAATATATTTATAATCCAGTGAGGCAGTCCAATTTATAGAAGAGGCTGAAGGTAGTTGGCACTTGCATGACAACTCTCAGGCAATGCACCATCGTTTCCAAATCCCGATTTTGGTAAACTTTTCAGGAGAAAAAACATTTTCTTGCTGTCTCTTGAACTTTAGTTCAAGAAGGCATCTTGTGGATCTCAGCAAATATTTTGCTGTTTCACCCTTTTTGATATGAATGCCTAGATACTTGAATAATTTAATGTTATTCAAGTATCTTGAATAATTTAATGACTATTTCTGTAATTGTTGGGTTCTGAGACATTTAAATATTTCTTTAATTTACAGTACTTCTCTTAGAATCTGAACTGAAAGCTACGAAGTGCAGTAACTTAAGTGTTAATGCATATGCAATTCAGAATTACCTCAAGTGGCAATAGTCACTCTCCTGGTTGGTAGGCAATCTTCCAGTCTACAAACTTTTTTCTATACCACTTCCTATTCTTGTCATGCCCTCCCCTGATCTGATCTCTAGAGCCATACACTGTGCATAGGATGGAAGTTGTTTTGCAATTAATTTAACCTCTTTAAAATTTGGTTTCATTCTGGTGGACTAGCCATCGCAGAATAACTATGTAATCCAGGGGTGGACAATGATTCTGGCTGGAGGGCTGCTTAATGAGTTTTGGTGAGCTATTGAGGGCTGCACCATCTTGGGAATGGAAGTTGTGCCCTCTAACCCCTGACCTTTGCCACCAGAAGTACTCCTTGGGGGGGAAAGGGCAGAGGAGGGGCTGTCATCTTGGAACCAGAAAAAAACCCAGCAAATCACACACTAAAAGTCAAAGCTCTACTATAACATTTTATTTTAAAAAATATTTGTGTCATGATTTGTGTAGTGTATATAGAGATGATTACATAATAGCTCAAAATAAAATCTTCCTCTTGTATACTGTGTGTGTGGGTAGATGCGGGTTTGTGAGGGGGTGAGGCTGTGTGTATATGTGACAGGTGTGGGGTTTGAGGAAGGGAGGGGTGGGCAGGTTGTGCTCCCCCTCCCCCACATACACCCCCTATGGCACACAGCCCCCTGCCACCAGCAGCAGGCAGCGAACCCTCAGGGTGCTCATGATTCCACGAGCTGCGCATGGCTATAAGGAGCGGAGCTAGGCCAGCTCCCTGTGATGTACGTGCAGCTCCCAGCACTTGCATGCTACTAGGGGGAAGCCTCATGCGATGGAGCTAGCAGCCTTCCCTGCTCTCTACCATAACATACAGCTGCTGGGACTCTGCTGGAAATGGAGAGGCCTGCCCCCTGCTCCCTGGCAGAGTCCTAGCAGCAGCACGTGGCCGAGGGAGCGGGACCAGGCTGCTAGTTCCATTGTGCAGGACTTCGCCCTGGTAGTGCACAAGTTCTGGGAGCTGCACGTGTGCCCTGGGGAGCCCCACACAGTACGAGTGGATCAGCCTGGCTCCACTTTTTGCCACCACACGCAGCTCCCAAAACTGACGGGAGCTGTGTGCCACAACCTATGCAGGCCATGAGCACCCCAAGGGCCCACCCCTTGTTGCTGCTGCCAGCAGTGGGAACTGTGCGCCAGGGAAGGGGGTGGGTCCCTCCACACTCTCCCAGCCCCATAAACCCCACACCCTGCCCACCCAAGCTCCATCACCCCCCTGGACACAGGCTCTGAACTCTATACTCCATCGCAGAGACAGGTCCCCCCTCACTTTCCAACCCCTGCCACTTCTTAAGCCCTGCAACAGGGACAGAAGGAGCCACTGGAGGCTGGGGAAGCCAAGCAGGTCCCCCAGTGGCAGCAGCACCAGCCCCACCCAGAAGCTGTGCATGATGGCTGGGCAGGGGCCCTTCTGTGCCCAAGGATGGGTGTGAGGCACCAGCACGCTGGGTGAAATTGCCTGGCGGACTGGATCTGGTCTGCAGGCCATATTTTGCCCACAGCGATGTAATTGTTGAATTTATTTTATTTCCACCTCTTCCATACTGTGTTTTCTACTTGTTACATCATGTCCAATTTTGTCTGTGAACTAGTTCTTGGGTAGTTAAGTCCCTATGTCTGTTCTATCCACCTCTCAAAAGTGATGCCTCTTCTTAAAAATGAGGGGTATATACAGTAAGTAAATATTTTAATACTAGCAAATTACCCATCAAGAATGACCGGGGGTGGGGAGTGGCAGAGGGGACAGAGTGCCACCACCCCGCAATTTCACTGCTCTGGCCCCGTATACCACCCCCCCCCCCCCTC